GGTGGCTGCTGCGCCCTGTCTGAAAAACACTAAATTCCGATTCTGCCGCCAGGATATTCGCTGGAGGGATGTGAGTTTGTGGGCTGGCGTAGGGATGGCTTGGGTACAGGACAGGGAGTTCTCCGAGGAATGTCGAATAAAAGCCGTCGGCTGGGAAGTTGGCTGCCCGGGGGCAGCGGGGGGCCTTGGGCGCACGCTGTGAGTTTCTGTAGTTTCCGCTAAGCATAAATCAAAATGTTTAAATACGGTATTTTTGTGGTTTTGTGTGGTTGGATCATCACGATCCCCATTTCGATCTTAAGGCGACACCGTGATGCTTCTGGGTGATCGAAACCCTCCCTGCTTGAAGTTCAGAACAGATTCTTTTTTCCTCATGCACTTCTCTGCATCTGTCCCTGCTTTAGGACAGCAATGATGACATCGAAGATGTGTCTCTCTTTGATGCAGATGACGATGTGTCCCGGAGATCCAAAAAGTCAAAAATCAGGTCAGTGGCCACAGAGGGAGTTTCTAGCTGAGTTCTAGGCAGAAGCGTGATGAAGGAAGGACGGCCATATGACATCATAACATGAAATGGCAAATACCTCCCTTGTTGTTTTGGAAGTCATGGAGGGTGATTTCTGGGTAACTTCAGAGAGCTGCCTCCAGGAGCTCAGCCAGAGTTTGTAGGTGTGTGCCTTCACGCTTCTGGGTGCCCTCCCATTTACTGCGTGTTTGTGTGCCTGCGTGTAAGGGGTCTGCACCGACACAACTCTGCGAAGCGGGGGGTTCGCCCCGTGTTGAGTGCTGGTTGGGGGCCAGTCCCTTCTCTCTTCCTCAGTCTTCATTCTCGAGTGCACTTGGTGCTGCCCCGCTCTCTGCCATGTCCTGGCGTAGCTGGTCCAGCCGCCTCCTTCCTCCTCCTGCCCGAACTGCTGCCGCAGAGCAGTGTCCATCCACAGGTGCTGTGGTGTCCTCAGCTCTGCACTGCACGTTTCTGACCTGGAAACTGCAGAAATCGGAAAGAAGGGCAAGTCTGCCATGTTGAGAAATGTTGTGTTTCATTCAGAGGTATTTCCTCGGGCAGAATAGTATTTTTTAAATTTACCCCGTAAAAATGGCCTTACGCTGAGCACCGGGTGGAACTCCCTGTCCCCTTCCACCGCGAACTCTGTCTGCACGTGGGCTATCACTGCATGTAGAATGTGTCTTCCTTATGATGAGCTTCTAGTCAGTTTATTTCCCATATTCTCAGCAGTTGTTGCACACTGGGTTGATGTTACGATGCTGATCCTTATCCTGTGAGTTGGTGGGAGATTGACTCGGCGATGTCATTTCTCTGAAATTGCTTCAGTCTTGTCTGAAAGAGCTGTGACTGTACTGTACTTCATTCCAGGCATCCAGTGGCGTCATTTTTCCACTTATTCTTCCGAGTCAGTGCCATAGTTGTCTATCTGCTCTGTGAGCTCTTAACTAGCAGCTTTATTGCCTGCATGGTGACAATTATCCTCCTCTTGTCATGTGACTTTTGGGCTGTAAAGGTAAGTTCATCTTACGCTTTTTGTTATCTTTGTCTTACTGTGTAAGAATGATTGAACAGTGTCAAAGAAAAAGTAACTTCTTTGTGCCTTTCCCACAAAATGATACCCAAAATACCCTCAAGTGCCGTGATGTATTGCAAAGCGTTAGAAATAACCACTCTTCAGTCTCTGTGTACCTGCTTTCTTTTTGAAAATCGAGCGGAGAACACATATTAGACTTTCTTTTAAGGTAGCACAGGCTTTGTTATCTGATCGCTTTTAAATCACCAGCAATACGCCTCACAGTAATTTGGTATTGTGCTGGACATGTTAGGTACTAGATTATTGGGAACATAAGAGCCTCGTAACCTTGTCTTCCCAAATGTGAGGCAAATGAGCAGCGCTGAAAGTGGCAGCCCAAACAGCTGAACTTCGGCGAACGGTTTCTTTTAGCAGAAAGCTCAAAGCTCGTTGCTTTTCTTCTATTTCAGAATGTCACAGGGCGACTGATGGTTGGCCTTCGCTGGTGGAACCAGGTGGATGATGATGGTAGAAGTCACTGGGTGTTTGAAGCCAGGAAGGTAAATGGCTTTTTTTTGTTGTTTGGTTGTTTTTTTTTTTCTTTGTTTCTGTTTTGTGAACTCTCTGTGACTTCGTGGTTGTGCTTGTGGTGGTAGGTTGCAGAATGTAGACATTTACTTCCAGCCACAGATCTGTGACGGTGCTTGTTTCATGTCAGCTGCTGAATGAGCTTTGTGATGTTGAACTATTTAAAACTTCTCATGATGTATTGATCTGGCTTAATGCAAGTAACCTAAAACTTCCACATAAAAGGCAGTAAAGGTTCCCATGTCACATCAGTAACCTACAGTTTTCTGGTGTGAATTTGGAGCAGCTGATGTAGTTTTTATCTCCTATAGAAAACTACTGGAAGTAGGAAGTAACGTATAGCATCCATCACGGCTGTTGCTTTGCCTTTGTGTTCACGGTGGCTACTGCTGCCTCTCTAGTGTCCCATCTGTCAGGCACCTCACACCATGTCTTGTATTTGCCTGTTTGATCCCTGTCTCTTATCTCTGTCTGTGTGGAGCTAGTGGCACGCAGATCTGGAATCTGCAGTGGTGTAGGGATGTGAACCTAAACCTTTCCCCGGCTGAGTTTGTGCGCTTGCTGCAGGCACTTTCTCAAAACTACCGGTTTAGAAAAGCTAGAGCATACTGGGGAAGGGGGGAAAGGGAGCTGAACCACTGGTGATGCTGTAAATTTACCCCTAAGTTGTTAAGCCGGTCCGGATTTTTTTAAGTATTCTAGGAAGAAGTGAACGTTTGCTTGGGATCTTCTGCTCTGCAAAGACTTTATAAAATCAGTAGTGTGGTGTGAATCAGACCTCTGTGTGTGTGTGCAGAAAAAATTACCCTACTTTGGCGCCTAAGAATATTTAGTTCTGCCAGTGCTAGGATTAGTGGCATTCTGGTCATCTGTGCAGTGATTTGGAGGTAGGAAGCACTACCCCTTTGGCTGTTTCTGAGCTTCATAACTGAACCATGCAGTAAACGTCATGTTTCCCAAACTTAACCTTTTAGCCTCAAGCATTCCAAGAGGCTTTGATGCTGCTGCCTTCACTGACAAAACGGTCCCTTAAATGGAAACATCTTCTGTTGCGGAAAGATCTTTGTGATGTACAAATTGACCTTGAAAGCACCCAGTACTGTTGTGTGGGGACAGAAGACAGGGGCCTTATAGATTCTGGACTGTTTCTGATGGCTATGGGATCTGTACAATGGAGCAGCCTGTTAACCTCTATTTCCTTTCTGCTTCTAGGTATCAGCACAAGGGAGTAAAACCTCGTCAGAAGCAGAGTCTCGGATTTTCTGGTTAGGTCTAATTACCTGCCCTATGATCTGGGTGATATTTGCTTTCAGCGCCCTCTTTTCTTTCAAAGTGAAGTGGCTGGTGAGTGGCTCCTGCGGTTCGGTAGCAGATCCTGTGTGTGCCAGGTAAGGCAGGGTAAATCAATGACTGTATTTTCCTGTGTCTTAGGCAGTGGTCGTGATGGGAGTGGTGCTTCAGGGAGCCAACCTTTATGGTTACATCAGGTGTAAAGTTGGCAGTAGAAAGAACTTGACAAGCATGGCGACCAGCTATCTTGGGAAGCAGTTCTTGCGGCAGGTAAGATTTCCGGGGTTTGGGAAACCCTCCAGTCATGTTTGTTGCTGTCCATCAGCTTCCTGGGCCATGAAAAGAAAGGCTGAAAAGTTCTTATCTGTAGTTCTCCAGAGGGACCCTTCACACCTTGCTGCCTTGTGAGCCTCCTTAATAAGTAACGGAGGAACTCACTGATTACTGGCATCAAGTTCCGTTTGCAGCGCACTGTGAGCTCAGGTTATTTGCTGGTGCTGTGGGCAGGTGCCATAGAAGCTACTGGAATGTGGCTGATTTATCGGAAATAAGGAGCATGGTGAATGTGGTGACAGAGTGAAATGGGTTTTGATTAACTGCTGCTCTTGGATAATGCATTACTAGATAACTCCTTTCACGGCACGGCTTCCTCTTCAGGTTGTGCTGGCCCCAAAACCAGGCATCTGGAGAGATGTTGCACTGGTCCTTGTGCTTCAGGGCACAGCTGCGGCGTGCGTCGCGCTCGGCCCAAAGGGCTGCCCCTGCCTTTTCTGTTCTTTCTGCCTTCCAACCAGCTGCTCTAGAGGTCCTTCTCTGCCCCAGCGCCGGGTTTCCTTCCTTCCACAGGTCCCTGCAGCAGCCGGCACAACCGTCTCCTGTTCCACTTCTAGGCTGTCATTTAATTTCTGCTTTTACGGAATTTCCTGAGCGTGCTGCCTTACGCAGACGGCTCTGGGGACGGGTGGTTTGGCTGCCACAGGCTCCCAAATGTGTGCTGGAGTTACTCTCATTAGTGCCATCAGAAGCTCAGACACTGATAAAACTTTCTGGGCAAGTCCCTGCTGGGATCACGCTCTTCTGCAGCTGCGTTTGCTTCTGGATGCTTTCACCACTGCAGTGGTTAACCAGAGGCCCGGGGCAGTTTTAGTCTCTGGCAGAAATGAATGTCTTGCCCTAGAGTCGTGGCAGTGAGTCACACAGCTCTCCCATACTCCTGTTCTTTTTTTGCCTTCTGCAGACCGTGGCTAAAGAGGACCAAACAGCATCCTGAGTGTGGCGGTGGCCTCAAGCCAGACCGGATTCGCAGCAGTGGACGGCAGTGAGTGTTGCTGTGACCACGAGGTTTGGGAGCTGCATACGTGAGGTGTGAATTCAAAGACGTAAATAAATTGTGCAAGGCTTCAGGTTAACGCTCCTAGCAACTTCTGTTCATTTTTTCCACTAGCAGTTTGTGTTTCAGTCCTTTATTAATTAGAATTAAATTGCCTAAACTTCTTTAAATTAAAAGACATCCTAGGTGACTCTCATACAGGTTTAGAGAATTAAGGGAAAATTGCTGGACATCCTTCTTCAGAAAAACCATGCACAAGCCAAGCCTTCCCTTACCCAGGAACTCCCCTGTCTCCTCCAGCAGTTGCTGCCTCAAATAGTTTCCGTTGTGGATGTTGCTGCATTTCGCTCTTGGAGGCCGTTACTGCTTCTGTCACGGAGTTTAGATCGTGCTCGTTTGGCTCTGCACCTCTCATTCTGTGATCTGAGCGGCGCTGAGGTGGTTGCAGTGAAGGACACCTAAAGGAAATGTTGCTGTTGGCTTAGTGGGAAGATTTTTGAAGTCTCGTGGAAACTGCAGAAAGTGACTTCTGAGCAGCTGTGGGATTTGGGTTTTGTTGGTTTTTTTTCATCTGAAGCATTCTTGGAGGTCTCAGTAATATCTTAAGCCTCTGGATTTACCGCAGGTCCCTCTTACCTGTAGGGCCGTGTCCGTACGGGGAGTGCAGCAAGAGAAAAACCAGGTGATGAGGAAGGTTGGATGCACAGTTTCAGAGACAGAGTGAATCGGGGCGGTTGTCGTCCGACTGGTGCTGTTAAAGCGATGTCATCTGGTGCCGTGACGTGCTTTTGGTGCTGCGGGTTTTTCCTCTCTGGCCAGGAGGGTGTAGGGTGATGTGATCCACAGTTTCCTCACCAGCCCCTCAGCACAGGGTCGCAGGGAACAGGACCAACAGGGGTTTACGTTCCTTGGATCCCTGCAGTGTGCTGTTCTCGAGCTGTGCTCCCCACGGAGTCTGGGGGCTGGAAAAAGCCTTTTCTGTAGGATCGTGAGGTGTTGGCTGGCAAGCGTTCACTTAGGTGGCAGAAAGTGGCATGTTTTGTGTGAAAAGCTGCATGAAAGGGGTCAGTTCCTTCTTGTCATGTAATTCTGTTCAAGGCGGATTGTGCTTTCACAGCGGTAGATATTGTAAACTTTGGGTGAGGTATTTTAAATTAAGAATCTGGTTTCTTTTTGAATAATGGGTATTGTCAATTGTGGGATTGCGTTACCGTGATTTCTCTCCCTGTACTGTAGCAATACTTGGGAGCTGTACATTTGTTTAACTCTCTGGATTGATACCTTCCTTTTGTAAATATGTATTTATAAAATCTTGAAATTAAAATAACGCTTTGTTTAACCAGACCAGATATCCCTTCTGTGATTTGTGGCTGAGCTCTGTACGCTGTGTTCTTGTAACGTAGTTCTAACAGGGGTCACTCGTCGAGTCAGACGGTGCTGTTCAGCGAGCTCTGGCACAGTTCCTTTCCCCAGGGGTCTTGGACAGGTTTCCCTGTGCAAACACTTTCTTCATAAGCGCGCTGGAGTCGTTCTCATGCAGAGCTGAGGTAACTGGCCCTCTGTGAGGCTTGGTTGGGGTGGCTAAGAGGCTCCTTCCGAGGGCACTCGGAGGGCCCCTCTGCCCAGGTCCCTGGCTCGCTCCTGGCCGGTGACAGCGTGCTACCGAAAATGCTCCTTCCACCACTTGGCGGGAACGTCTAGTCCCTGTTTACGTGGAAGGGTCGGTTTATTTCTAAGGAGTGACGGTAAAACAGGCCAAGACAATCGTTGAAGTAAAGGTGCTTCTGCAGCCACGCGGGGACGTGCAGGTGCAGCATCTGGCATGGTGGATCCGAAATCCTTTCTGCCCCCGTCCAACAGGCCCCCAGTTTGCCGCTGCCGTCAAAGGGACAGCACTGACTGGCACAGCTCCAGCCACGAGGTAGTTGTTTTAAAATGTGTTGAAAGTTTTGGACTCTGTTTATTCTCCTGCTGCCAAAGTTTCCCCCAAACTGCTGGTAAATAGTGCTTTTCTGGAAGCTGCTGCTTATTTAATCAAGGACAGGGGCATTTATTAGTATGTGCCTTTAAATAGAGCGCCCTTTGGCTCATTTTTAGCCTCTTGGCAAATATTCAGTCTTTTGGCTGCTGAGAAGCCAGCGTTTTGTTGCATTTCTTCACAGCATGGATCAGAACCAAATTTCTTATCACTTCTCCAGTTGGGTGTGAGTCTCGTTTGATTTTTTTTTTTTTTTTTTTTTTTTACTTGCTGTCTGCTGGGATTTCCTGTGAAGCGGGAAGTGGGAGTTGCCACAGAATGGGGAAATTCTCTGAATGTGCTTTTTTCAACCCGCCTTGGGAATCCAGGCTAAGCCAGTTTCTTGAGCATTAGCTGTGTAACCGTGGCCCCACCTAAGACCTCCAGGCCTGGGTGGTGGCTGAACTTTCAGGCTTTACAGAAGCAGAAATACTCCCAAGAGCAATAATAATAAAATACTATTTGCTCTGCAATAGCAAAGTATCCTCGGGTGTTGCAAGCACATCTGCAAGGTGGACTTGAAGTCATCCTCATTTCACGGGCAGAGCCATTTTGAGTCCTTGGAGCACAGTGGCCTGTGCCAGCGGGGAGCTTGCTGGCGGAGCTGGGGACAAAAGGGGCCCTGGGGGACATTTGCTGTCTGCTTTAGGCTGTGCGAGGCCTCATCCTTCCCTTGTGTCCGAGGGACGAGCTGCTCCATTGCTCTTTAGCCACAGTGAGGACCTGCCCCTGGTGCAGACAGGCCTTGGGCTGCCACCTGCCGTGGCATTGCGCCACGCAGCCAGCTGGGTGCTGGTGTCCCCAGGGAAGGGGCAGGGGCAGAAGCAAAGCTTTTTGTGGCCCTGTGCTCTAACACGTTCCTGTGGCACATCCAAATACTCTCCAAACCCGAAAGCTTTAGAGGCAGTTTTGCCCCGTCAGGTGCACCTCCCCTTCCCTGCGTGCTCCCCCTCTGCCCTGGGGGAGGACCGCAGGGGAGGGCAGAGGCGGGATGCTGAGTGCCTGCGGGCAGCCAGGCCCCAGGCGCTTGGAGCCCGTCTGTCTTTCCCTCCAGAGATTTCTTGGCAGGCTGCAGGGAAAGGTCTATTGTAGTTGCTTGGCAGAAGCCGTGGTCAGCCCTGCTCGCACGGGACAGGACATCCCAGCTGGTATTTCCTAAACAAAAAGCTGCAGTGACTAACAGAGAGTGACCTTTGGGGAGACCAAAGGGAGCGGGGATGCGGGTGAGGAGGGTGGATGTTGGCCAGGACCCAGCGCTGCTTCCAGGGCTCCTGGCAGGAAGGAATTTCTCGCTTCCCTCCTGCCTTTCCGTGCGAACAGCCCCCATTTGGGAGCGGGTGTCCCTTCCCGCCCTGCAAACCCATGGCAAAATGAGACCCTTCCCACCGCCCTGATAAGACGGACGAAGGACAGAGAGAAAGGAAACACTGTTTCTGTTTTACTGATAGCAGCATTTTTATACCACAGAGGACACGTGGGCCCATCCTTATCTGCCTGTGCATGCCAAAAGCAAACTGGGTGTGTTGAACGTGATCCCAGTTCCTTCCTACCCTCTCCGGTGCCAGCGCGTGGCTCGGGGCAGCTGACCTTGGGGACATGCTGTGCTGGTTTCCGCTGCTCAGCCAGCGCTCGGCTGCTTGAATTTCACTCCTGTTTCTCGGGGGGAGGCATCACCTTTGGGTGCTGCTGAGGGGACAGCCTCTTCCTCGGCTCACAGCAGGTATGTGTGCTCCCAGCTGTGTCTTGGAGCTGTGAGAACAGCTCTCTGGGTCAGACTGAACCCATCAAACCCAGGGTTTGTCTCAAGCAGTAGCTAATTCTGCGTGCCTAGCAAAGACTAGATGGAAATGGCAAACTCACAGCCATGCTTCTAGGAACACCTTTTGTACCTCCAGAGGCTTGTGGCTCCCTCTGTGTCACCTGATGAATTTCGCTGCTATTAGCATGACTGATTCCTTTCTGAGTCCATGCAGACTTCCAGTATTTGCGGTGTCCTGTGGCAGAGAGCTCCCCAGATTAACACTGGACGCAGAAAGATCCTTCACTTCTTGTTTGTGTGGAACCTGCCTCCCAACTTAATTTGGTGCTCATCTGGTGAGGAAAGGGAAGGCCAGGGGTGTTCTGTGTTTGCCACCATACACAGCAGAGAGACGCTGGGTTTTATGTTAAACATGGGGTTTGAAATCCCCAGACACTCAAACTGCTGTCAGGATCCTGCTGGATCAGCTTGCTGAAGATCCAGGGTCTCTCCTCTCCAAAGCTGCCAGCTGACGTTACAGTGCCAGGAGGAGGAGTTAGCATCCTCTGGGACAGGGCTTAGCATTTGCCAGGATGCGTCCTAGCAAGGCCACAGGTTTTATGGAGGTAGAGGTGTCCAGAGGACCTTTGTAAGGAGACTGTGGAGCAGTTGGACTGCAAGAGAAGATTTGGGATGTGGGGAGATGTGGGATTCCTAACTCTCCCGAGTATCTTCGCTTCTCTTCTTATCCTGGTGAGGCTGAGCATGACTCAAATGCTCTGCAAGGACTGGAGGGTGCATTGATGCCATTTCCCCTGGTATACCATTTCCCCTGGTATGAAAACTCCTATTTTGTTGCTGTCCTTTGTTAGGGATTTTTTTGCAAACTATTAATTTGTAAATTATCCAATTAATGGCTGTTAGTATCGTATCATCTCATCCCCCAGCTGCTTGCTACACGTTTCAAAGAGCTTTAGTGTTTGCCAGGTGGGTCTCCCCTCAGGAAAACCCATGTTGGTGCTCTTTAGCTGTTTCTTATCTCTGTGAATCCCCGTCTGTAGGAGTCCAACTAGTTTGCTCAGTATAGGAGTTGGGTTTTCTGTTCTTTTGCTCCTCGTATTCCTCCCAGAATCCTTAAAAAGAAAAAAAAACAAAACCAAAAACAACCAAACCCCAGTATCACAC